ACGCTCTCTCTTTCCCTCTCTCAAATAAATACATATCAAAATATAAATAAAACAAGGATAATTTTCAAAGTAGCCTACCTTATTAAAGTTTACTTATTTTTTGTTTTTAAATTTTGTTTCCAGTTTTATTGAGCTGTAACTGATGTATAACATCTTATGAAACTTTATATAAAGTATGAACAAAAACTTAAGAAAACCATTTCTTAAATGAAGAAGTATCTAAAAGTTGGGAAGCAGAGATTTTGGTGGGGTTGTGAGGGAAAACCCACACAGCTGGAGAGAAAATGTATCTGTCTGTCTAACTTCAGTCCCTTCTCACGCATTGCTTTGCCTCATGCTGGCTCTCTCTGTGTGAGCTTGGGGAAGACCTGTCATCTTATTAGGATATTCTGGAATCTCTTGCTAGTTTCCATATGACGTAGCAGAGGTGAAATAGTAGCTGAGTACTTTTCTAGATGAGCCACAATTGGCAGAGGAAGGCCAATGTGTTTGGAGCCATGGGGGCTCATATTGCCCAAGCCACCCAGGATGTGCCAGTGATGACCAGAGGAGCTGGCTGTTGTCGCCATTGTGTAGTGAGGAAACCATGGCTTTGCCCAAGGTTACGAGTCCCTCAGGGATTAGGCTGAGAGTTGAACCTTGACTGGTGAAGCTCCAAAGCCCAGGTTCTTTCCTATCGTATCACACGACTCTTCTCTCTCTCGTTTAGTCAGTCTAGTGTTTAGTCTCCTGGAGGGTGAAGAAGTGACTCGACTGCTCCGAGTTTCCCGTTTAACGACACCCCTTCCCAGACCCCGCCAGAGTAGCCTAAAGAACTCTGCCACTCCACAGGGGCCTAACGAAAATGTGCACTTCACAAGGTTCCATCCGTCAGAGTTACTACTGCACATGTCCGGTTCAAAGTAGGGATTCTACCCCTTGGGGGACAAAAATGAGAGCTCTCATTACCTTTTTTATCAAGTTGTCTTCCAATTCCAAGGTGCCGGAATCAGGTGGGTAAAGAACGCTTGGGGCTATACAAACGGATAAATTATAAGCTGTCATGTGATTGGATGAGGAATGTTGCTCAATGTTGTATAGCACTCCAAAAAGGTATCGCAAGAGAACAATATTTGCTCTTGGCAGCTGGGCTAAAAGCCTAAGGTCAGAAAAACACACTTTAAATTAGGTAAATGATTCCACTTAAGAGGTTGGAAAAACAGAGACAGGGAAAAGGATACATCCTTGTATATCTAGCACACAACCCCTCTCTATCAGAGTTCCAGGCATGAATGTAGACAAAATTGTTGCACTGAATTTAGTTCCTGAGCCAGATAAACACTTCTCTGGTTAGTTAAATGTTTGACAGACTTTTAAGGTCATAGCCCTGGCAGTTGATGCTCTTGCATGTGTCTTGAACCAGGGAATTTCGTCTACAAGTTTCATGGATCCAGAAGGTGTCAAACGGCCAAGGAGTCCACATTAATAAGATCAGGAGAAGAACAATAATAGCCCTAAAGCGTGCCTCTATTCTGAAGCTGACCCCCATGGCTTTGAAGAATTGAAACTCTTTGACATTGGTCATGATTATAGTGGGCAAAGCTGCAAAACGTAAGCCAATGTTTTCCTAATAGTATGTTGGGTGTATTTTGGAGATGTGACCAGAGTAGAGTAATTATTGCATCGTTACCTCCGCGCTGCAGTCATCTTCTCCTCTTCGTTCCCTTGATCAATAACACCGAGCCATTTGTCATAGAGATCAGACAAAAATATACATCCTGGGATATTTCTTAGGAAATCCTTGTGGAGATAAAAATAAATATGTATATATATTACAGAAAATATGTATTGGAAATATTACAGAGAAAATATGTAGTTAAAAAATTCAGTTCAGCCCCCACTTCCTTCACAGATACCCAAACTGGGACCCACACGGAGCTTGGCTCTGACTCTCCATTGACTTGCACACGCAGCATCAGGTGCTTGGATATTCTCCCCCTAAATCTTAGAGGCATTAAAGCAGAGCTTAGGCTGTGGTAGAAATGAAGATAAAGCTCCCTTCTATCATCTGGAACTTATTTTCTTTGTGTGCTTTTTTTGCAAAGTACCACAAACTGACAGGGTCTGGCTATAGACCATCCTAAATCCTTTTAGCTTCTTGGACAGAAATACGCTTACCCATGTTGCTTGTTTTAGACACAGTGCTAGCTCTTAACTCTAGCAAGAAAAGGCCTGAAACAATCGAAACAGAAACAGGTGGGCTCTTGCACACATATTAGGAAAGAACTAGGTCTTCTCACTCGGGGTATGTGTGCTCCCTGGAAGAAAGCTACTCGCACAATTGCTTCATTCTTCCTTTTCTTAACTGTCTAAAAGTCGAGAGTCTAATAGTAGACTCACTGAGGTCCTGAGGATAGATTCATTTCTAGATTAGGTCCATTCCCAGTTTTTTGACATGATATTATCAAGGCCAAAGTTGCAGAGTCTGTTTCTCCACCAAGATCCATCAACTTCAGGAAGAGAAAACTTTAGAAATGTCTAAGCACTATGCCCACATGTGCATACCCTCTTCCTAGTCGGTGCTTATAACACCGAATCAGGAAGGAACCTCCTAACTCTTTTTTTTTTTAATGATTTTTTTTTTAAAGATTTTATTTATTTATTTATTTAAAAGAGAGAGAGAGAGAAACAGCATGAGAGGGGATAGGGTCAGAGGGAGAATCAGGCTCCCTGCTGAGCCGGGAGCCCGATGTGGGACTCGATCCCAGGACTCCGGGATCATGACCTGAGCCGAAGGCAGTCGCTTAACCAACTGAGCCACCCAGGCACCCGGAACCTCCTAACTCTTGCTAGAAAATCGATTCCATGTGCTCACCTTACAGAGGGCAACACTCATCTTGCTATGTAATGTATCAGCATTCTTCTCCTGTCTCCTGATGCCTATATGTATATTACTACTGGATATCACTATGACCGCAGTGTAGGAGTGGTTACCTAAGTCATTTCTGGACTTTGCTATTGATCACATCTTCGAACATTAACGGGGGACAAGGGAAGACCAAATGTGACTGAGATTCTAAGACTGTAGTCATTAATACGTTAACATAGGGTGGTTCAGAGCTGTTCATAAGTGCCAAGGTGGATGGATTAAATTCTTTCCCTGTTCTATTTCTTTTGGAAACTTTGCCTTCACTAGGAGGGTGGTGAGAATGTTTGCATGGGTAAACAGTGTGTATGTGTCAGTGCGTATTTTGAAATTTATTATCATGACTAGTAGTCATTTCAGTATTAGTATTTTGCATGGCGACTTCAGGAGTGAAGGCAGGGTAGGCGGTGTGTGGTGAAAACAGAAAGAATTTCTAACATATGGGGCTTTTAACTCCTAAAGTAGCTTCCTTAAATTTTGATTTTGTCAAGCGTTTTTCACCTTGTCAGGTTCTTAATCTATTATGCCCATTATGGTTCTTGAGCAGTCATGATGAAAGACACCAATCATAGCTTCAGTTACTCGTGAGTGGATAATGCTAGAACCTTCCCTACCTTTAAGACGGATGCGACCACATGAACAGATTCGCTGTACAGGTCCACTTTGACCCCAGAATTTAGTTTCTCCTTTAGGACCCTGGTTGATTTTATATTGGGTGATTTGCTGAAGATGCATTCTGTGAGGGACGCTTTTTGATTAATAAAGGAAAGCATATCCTGTAGGAAGAAAAGAAAATTATATCGCATCTCATACCCCAAACGCAGAGCTCAAGCTTGCCTCCGTTTTGAAAGAGGAGGGGAATGCAATGGTACACTGTTTTTGAGCTGAAAGGACTAAAGTCAATTTAGATTGTTTTTTTTTTTCAGTGTCTCTCTATATACTTTCTACCCATATATCCATTTTACAGTCATACACTGAAACATTTTAAACACTTCTTTTAAGCAGATTTTCCTTTCCATTGAGTTTCCACTCTTCAATCAAAATTCTCTGCTTCAAGGCCTTTGCACAATCACCGTCTGTTTCCTACTTTACCATTCTTTTCTCATTATTGCCTTACATAGATGCTCTCCCCCAAGTATGGAAGTCTATTTAGGAAATACACATTTCCCATTTGTTTATTTCTCTTTAAGTGAGTGTATACTCCATTCCTACTTGTTCTATTTCTTTCCCTCTTTTAAAGTCAGGCTCAGAAACTCTCTTCTCTTTCTCTGATTACCCTCCCTTCTCATGAGTCTTTCATTGTCTTTTGCTGTATCTTCATGTCCTCTCTCTGCTGTGTAGAATCTTAATAAGGGCTGGACTCAGGGAATAAAATGGATCTGAAGTCTATTATGCTACTTATCTATTGTGTGACCTGGGGCACATACATCCTGTACTGAGGCTTTTCCGATTCGTTTAAGAAGTGTGGAGGATGATAATCCTAGCTACCCTCTAAATTTGCTGTGATGCAAGGACCTGGGGTAGTAGCTAGCAGGTAACATGCTAGCTAAGATGATTCATTTCTTCATAGCTAGCAGAACGTTCCCTACATCCCGGACAGTGCTTGCAGAGACACCGAATACTCAGTGAATGTCCACACTGACAATTCACTACAGCAGCTTGAGATAACACAGGCCAAACTCTGTGGCTTTCATTTGACATATTCTGTTAGGATTAATAGTTTCCTATTTGCCAGAGGATGAGTCTATGCTCGTGTCAGATGTTTACAGTTGTTAGACTGAGTAGACTCTGCTGAAGGAGACTTGAGACTCATGTGAGTTCAGGAAGGCAATGAGGGGAGAGTGTGAAGATGAGGTGGACTCTCAGAGACTCACATACACAGAGTCCATTTTGACTGATCTGAACAAGCCTCCGCATGTCTTTGCGGAAACAAGACCCAAGTGGAATGGACAAGAATGTCTTTTCCTGTTTTATTTGCCTCATGACTCTGCAGGACCTAAATCAGATTCTATTCTTTGAAATAACAGTAACAGAGCTTCTCAGCCAAAGCCAGGGGCTGTCTAATGACTTCTCCATTTGGGAATAGATTTGGATGAGGACACGTGGCCTCTCAGAGTGTCCCCTCCTCAGAAGGGCTATAGAAGACCAAAAGGAGATGACCTACCGGGATTGGGAAGGGCAAGTTGTCTTTATTACACACATCCATTAGGGAAACTCCAAAGAGCTGTCCTGGCTTTGAAGAAGGTGGGGTTGTGCACTGGCTGTCCTGGCTAGTGCTGGAGCCCAGACAACAGGCCCAGTCTCTGAAAAAACCGCTTTTAACTGTCTTCTGCCTGTAATCTAAGGAAGAAGTGAGATTAGTAGTAGTAGTTGTTGTTTTATTCGCTTAACCTTCTTTTCTTTTTTTTTCTAAAGATTTTATTTATTTTTTGATAGAGAGCCAGTGAGAATTGGAACACAAGCAGGGGGAGCGGGAGAGGGAAAAGTAGGCTTCCCACCCAGCATGGAGCCTAATGCAGGGCTCAATCCCAGGACACAGGGATCATGACCTGAGCCCAAGGGAGACGCTTAACAACTGAGCCACCCAGCCATCCCGCTTAACCTTATTTTCACCATTCCCATTCTACGGTACATTCACTGCAATGGCTAGAAGAGGGAAACTGAGGCATTTTTTGTGTAGAATTTTCCATGTTTTGAAATTGGCCAATAGCATTCTTATGGTGTTAACAGTTGTTCCCCAGATCCTGCAAACTGATGGTTAAACCTAGAGACTTGATCAGACTTAGTGTCAATGCTTTCAATCCCATCTACTGCCCGTTGTGCTTTATCATGAGGCACTTAACTTGTTGTTTGTTTCCTATTGGTAAGTATGATTAGTGGATTCATCCAGTGTCAGATCTGATTTTAAAAGCTCAAAAGATCTGGTATTCAAATCAAGCTGAGTTTGTTAATCATCTGCTTTCACAGTGAGTCTCCTTCCAGTCTTAAGTTTCCTCTTTGGCTTTCTGAGTGCTCAACTTTTTTTTTTTTTTTTTAATTTTATTTATTTATTTGGCAGAGAGAGACAACGAGAGAGGGAACACAAGCAGGGGGGGATTGGGAGAGGGAGAAGCAGACTCCCACTGAGCAGGGAGCCCGATGCAGGGCTAGATCCCAGGACCCTGGGATCATGACCTGAGCTGAAGGCAGACGCTTAACGACTGAGCCACCCAGGTGCCCCTGAGTGCTCATCTTTCTATGATCAAAAGGATCTGCCTTTCATGACATGATCCGCCTGACCCCACTTCTCAGGCGGCCTCTGGTGTCTCTGCTCTGGGCCATCCCCAAGGATGACTCCCTGCATTCAGGGTTCTTGGGAAATAGTCATTACATGCTGGCTATGTGGTAAGATTCCAGGTGACTGTGTTTTCTTGTGATACCCCACCAAGCTACCCAGAGATGACTTTTTTTTTTTGTAAATTATGTTTGATATTTACGGAAAAGAGTCTAATCCACAATGAATTGCACCCAATTCCTCACACATACTCAAACATACATGTATATACACCATACCAGTACAAGGCTTGAAAGAAAACATACAAAAAGAAAAACAATGAGAGATTATGAATGCCTGATTTATCCCCAATTTCCAGAGATGATTTTGAATTACCCAACATTCCCTATCAAAGGAATGCAGAAGAAGAGCTTTACAAAGAAAAGGTGATCTGCAGTGAAAAGCTGAGTTGAAAGTTTCTACTGCTCAGCTATGAATGTTTTCCTTATAAGATACCTTAACATTTGCTTATAAAATCTGCTTAAATAACTGAATTCTTTAAAAGTCCACAGAGGAGCCAAGCTGTAGAAGGATAAACAAATGAGCAACATTTCACCAAACACCCATAAACACCTGTCCACTGGGCTTTTCTGGGATGTAGTGAGTGCATCACCGTATCCACTCACGTGGGTGGCAACACTCATGGCACTTGACCAGAGAGACCAGGATCTAAGAACCAGAAGCATCCTGGTTCTGCCACCTAGTTAGATTACTCAAAAATTCTTAAGCTTTGGTTTGCTTAACTTTAACATAAATGCTGCTGCCTACAACTCGTTGAACTAAATGTAATGTACTACTCAGCACAAGGCATGGCTCGTGGCAGCCTTGATAAAAGTAATTTCCTTGCTCAGAAGGCCTCAGGCAGTCTAGACGTCAGTCTCTTCCCCCTCCAAAGCAGACATCACTCCCATTCTCTATTTGATTTTGCAACCTCTAGAAGGTAGGCAATCATGAAGGATGGCTACCACTTTACTTAACTAAGGCTCTTTCTTCCTGCTCTGAAATTGATACCGCTACCATTTTAAAAGGAGAGAAGAAAGAAAGCAAACACATTCTTAAATCCAGGAGGAGATTCCTGTACATCAAAATGTATGCATTTGCTGAAGATACGTGTTAATATGTAAGTTGAGTTGTTGTATGCAACCTGGGTTCCCTACTCTTCCCCTAGTTTTATTATTTCTAAAACTACCCAAATATATTCCATTCTTCAGCTTTAATAAGAAGAATGCTCTTAAGAAGAATGTTGTATCCCTTGGTACAAAGCTATATATCTAGCTACTCTATGAGTATACAGAAAATAAGTACACATTGAGTCCTATACTTTCTCCAAGGTATTTTCAGGCTTAGCTGGATGTTTCATAATGTACATTATTTGCTGTTAGAGGTCATGTTGCCTCTATTACTAATAAAAATATATGCTATAGCCATGAAAAATATAGGAATGATTAAACAAGCTAACTTTATGGAAACCTATTCTTTCTTAAACAGTCCTGGCAAGATTTGGGTTAATGTTTCCTAATGCTTGAATTAGGGTATGAATATTAAAAAATAAAATTTTTGAAACTTTGTGCTTATAGAATAACAATCATAACAATAAAATACTTTCTATTTTGGCCCAATACTTCTCAGATGAATAACACATTTTCATCAGAGAAAAAAATATCAATGGGAGAATACTGGAATGGTAGGGAAAAAAATAGCAAGAAGGAAGATGAAAAAGCCCTGACCATAAACATTCAGTCTAGCTCCAGCCTTGACCTGTGTCTGAAGCAGACATGGAAAGTGGGGGCAGAATTGAGACTTGAATTCTAACTGTAAGCCCAAGGCCACTTCAGCCTAAGCCCAGAATAAATCCAATTCAGTTCCATAACTCTTTACTCCACTGGAGTTCTTCCATTCCAGGTGCGTCTAAGCCATGCAGTCATTTGATTCCATCCTGTGATGGCCTGAGATACTAGATAAAACCCTGGAATAGGGAAGACCTGTTTCCAGGCCACAAACAGCTTGTGCTCTAAGAAGACACACAGATGTGTACTCACATAATTATATGTAGAAAGTGTTCTGGGGATACAGAGAAAGGAGCTAACAGTCTACCTAGGAGAATTAAAACAAGCACACAACCTTCCTCGAAGTGAGTTGGGTCCTAAGACCTTTGGGTTTCTCTAAGCTCGATTCTGTGCAGTTTTGGGGTTCTTGCCTCTACTGTTCCTCCCCACCCCCCACAGAGAGAGTGAGCTCTGTGTCCTCAATTTGTGGGCAAGAGTGGAGACATGAGCCAAGAGGAGACACCTGAAGAAAGGGAAGGGGCTCACCTCTCCCTTGCTCATTCTGCGCCGGGTGCCTGGGCTTCAGGATGAACCGGCCTTGCATCTCTGCGAACCCCTGCTCCAGAAGGAGGGACTCCTGGAGGGTGGAAGGAGAGATGGAGTCCTCTGGTGTCTGCGGCAGCAGTGTGGTAGATGGAAGATGGCTCATTTTAATTCCATAGGGATGTTTATGTCCTATATGGAAAAAATATAGATTCAGGCTGATGGTGATGGCTCTGATCAAATCCCCCTTCCCATGAGTGTATGCATCACACTGGTATATGCTGCTATTCTCCTGGGGCTTCTGGCACTCACTCTGTGCCTCCTGAGTGAGCATCATATTCGCTCTTGTTGGAGACACCCTGCAGAAAGCAGGTGCCCAAGGAAAAGATTTTAAAAAGAGAAAAAAAATGTAAAGCATGTTACTTTACTTGGAATACAAAGATTCATCAGTGCATTGCACAATGCTGACTTTTGCTGTGTTTCCATCTGAGAATATTTAAGGCCTTCTAGTTTCTGCCTTGACACTAACGAGATCTGCACATCTTAGGCAAATTACTTGACCCCTCTGAGCCTTACATTCATCCTTTGAAATGCTTGCCCTCACACAAACTTATAAGGATCAGAGTAAATATATTAATATGCATTGGTGGGTAATATTTTTTAAATAATTGAACATATATATTAAGAATTGCTATTCTCTCTCACATAATGTCAGTTGAGCAGATTTTTTTTTCATTTCCTTTTGTCAATTTCTAGAGGCAGAGCTACTCAAGGGCAGTGGGATGGGTTGCCTTTATGCTTTATACTTCCCTCCCACTGCTGCCCTTCCTCCAAGGGGAGTCCTGCCAGGTGATGATCAGAGGGAAGGCTGAACAGTGTTGGGAACCCACAAGCAAAGTGCAAAACGATGTTTACAGAGTGGAAAACTGCACCCAGAGTCAGTGAGAGTTGCCTGCCAAGTGATTTGTTTTATTCTTGTATGCTTTAAATTGTTTCCTCTCTATAGAATTCTCAAAGACCCTGTGCTATAGGATATGGATCTCATTTTTTAAGAACAGAATGGAAGTTCTCTTTCTGTCATTTCTGATTTATTATTGAATGTAACTTGGGGAGCTTTTGCTGTTCCTTCTCATCTGTCATAGATGCAGTGTCAGTGATGTGTTCACAAGAATCACAGTGACTTCCCTCTTTTAAGGAAAAAGAAGCTTCTATGACAGCAATACAACCAAATCACAAAGATAACCAGGAGATAATCCACAATTGAGAATTGAGAGCATTGGTAAAAAATGCATTTTGAATGCTGCCAATGGATCATCATGAATGACAGGCTCTCCGGATTCCTTAGAGCTGCCTTGGTGTGTGAAGCTGCTCAAAGTCTAAAAAGTTATCATCTCTATTGTTTTACCTAAATTAATGCACTTTATTAAAATAAATATATTTAAGTATTTGACTTTTTTCCTTTTTGTGGTTGGCCGACTTTTACAGAGATGTCAATATTAATATGAAACATGAAATGGTGGGGGGGATTTTTTTCCTCAGCTATGCCCTTGGTGACTCTCTGTATTCTAAGACTGGGAATATACATTTCGTAGAAAGAAATTGGTTATTTAGATTTCTAGATCACTTGAAAATATTCTTTAGATAACTTGAAAAAGAGTAATAGCCTCACGGGATTATTTTCTTTTTAAGATTTTATTTATTTATTTGTCAGAGAGAGAGAGAGAGCACAAGCAGGGGGAGCGGCAGGCCAAGGGAGAAACAGCTCCCCACTGAGCAAGGAGCCCAGGACCCTGGGATCATGACCTGAGCCAAAGGCAGACACTTAACTGAGCCACCCAGGCATCCCGCCTCACAGGATTATTAAAAAGATTTTGAAAAACGCATGTAAGAAGGAATGCTCTAAGATTTCTAGCAGAAATCATTGTCACCATTACCATACATTACTATACTTCAAGGTCTGCTACAGATCCTCTCTTTTTTCTCTTGTTTTTTAATCCTTCTATTTTTGGTAAGCACTGAACAATTTTGCTAATCCAAAGATTTTTTTTTAGAGAACTTGTGCTAATAACTATTTTAGGAGAGGTGTAATCTGTTTATCAATAACCTTAAGAACAGTGATGGAAAAAGCCTGAGAAACAACAAAGTGCAGGTAGTTTAGTCAGTGAAGACTTGAGGAGTTTAAATGTGATTATCTCATTCTCTTTATGATGCTGAGAAAACTTCTGGGCACAGAGCAGGTGTTAAATACATACCTATACCTGGATTCAGAGACATGATTGGATTTTAGCGGATTCTCACAAAATAGAGGCTATTTAGTCGTTAGGAACTGGAATTCAAGACTGGAATATGAAAAATAAATGTATGGGGAAAAAAAATTCCAATTCTATGCTTTCATACCTAAGTGAGTAAATAAGTAAGTAAACAATAAACAAAAAAATTTTTAAGACAGCTCCGTTTGTCAGGTAAAATGAAGTAGAAACGAAAAATTTACATTTCTCTCCCTAACTAGACCTTAAGCTGATGAATGAAGAGATGTCCTCAGTGCCTGGGAACAAGTAAGCACCTGGTAATTCTTTAATAAACGTGAGAGTGAATATTGCATGTGATTTTCACTTTTAAGGGTATTTAAGCTGAAGACAGAACAACCATTACTTTGAGATGTAGAGTTACAATTTTGAACCTAATCAATCCCATCTTAGATTTTCCCTGACACTTACCAGTGAGTGGGTGTGGGGACGCTTCCTTGCCAGCACTCACCCACAGCTGGTAGTCTTTCTCAGAGCCCTTGGAAACAAAAAGAACTATGCATCATAACAAATCTTTCACAGTACTTGAAGAACACATTTCCTTTGCATTTCTCTGTTTCCAGAAAGAAAGAATTGGGGCCAGTATAAATGCCATTTGGTCCATGGAGGTAGCTACAGTACTTGTTAACTTGTTCCCTCATAGCCTCCAGTGGACCGTCCCAGGTTCTTGTCATTTTTGATAAAGGCCAGGAAACCACAGTACAATCAGCCCCTCACGGTGTGGGTGGCCCATGGCCTAAGAAATCACAGTTGTGCCCCTTCGCTAAGGAGGAAACTTCTAATCTCAGAGTCCTGCCTTCCGCTGTCTCTAGATTCCTTGGATAATGCTGGCTTTTGCCGCCAAATGTCCCTGCCCTGACATGCATATTGTCCAGAGAGCCATATACCCTGCTATGACTATTCCTGAGCAAAGTAACTTGAAAGGCATCAATAGTTCCGCAGCCCTGGGCAAAAGGAGACAAACGCCCAAGAGGCCTTGAGGAGATAGTGGACTGAAGTCAGCCACTGGCTTTGGTGCAGGCAAGCCCCACTTCAGGGAGAGAAAGAACAAGGACTCTAACCTAGACAACATATCAGATGCAGAAAACAATTACTCCCAGCAGAATGACCGCCCAGTAAACCTGGAAGTCCTACTTGAAACAAACACATCTAAATTATAAAGACCGCTGAACTATTTTAGAGAGTCTTCCAGGAGACTAAAGCAAAAAATGTTTGACATGGAGTTGTTGGTGATAAGTACTATGCTTGACCTGGACTCCTGATTAAAAATCATGGTCTTGCCCTTATGAAGAAAGGTCATAGGTATGGACACAGACACACACACAGACACACGCAGACACACAGACACACACACATAGCTAAATCTGCTCAAAATTGTATTGCAAATAACTCGTGAGAGCTAGTAAGGTAGGGTAGGGTTTGGAAATGCTATGCTGGAATCCCTTAAATCAGGCATACATAAAGCCAAATAACCCCAATTCTTCATTAAAACAGAAATTCTTTGTGTGGTGAGATTGATCACTTTATGCAAAGGAAAATCACAAACATGAAATAAAATGAGCTTCATCATTAATCAATCTCCTCAACTTCATCCCTAAAACCACTCACTCTCTGTCTAAGACTTAATTCCTATTTAGGGTATATATATCATACAGGTTAGAAATCAATGTAGATATGTGCTTTACTCAGTACATATAAATTCAATTTTATTTCAGATATATTATTAAATTTTGTTTGTACAGAAATCATTGATTTCTTATGCTAAATTCCAGTTGCCCTGAATTTTTAAGGGGCTTTATTATACCATTGGGTCAGACAGAATTTAAGTAAGAATCTTGTAATTATGTCATGTCATAATAGCAAGACATTTTTGCATTTATAGAGGATTTTATATAAGAAGCTGTGCTTTACAAGTGCTCCGTTCAGTTCTGTCCATCTGACTATCACTCTCCCTCTCTTTTCCCTTAGAAAACCTCATCCTCAAATATGTCCATGTCTTTCATCAAAAAAAAAAAAAAAAAAAAAAAAATCCAGCAACTCACACCAGCACCATCAAAACATAAAGGAACAGGCCGTTAAAACCAAAACAAGATGAAAGTGATATGTACGCAACTGCCCCCAGATCATGGTCTTATTCAGAACTTGTCCTCTTTACCAGTTCATAAGGGGTGTGAGCCGCCTCATCCCAAGGAACTGCATCAAGAGGAGGTAGCTTCTAGCCATGTGGTCTTTATGTCAAAATGTACAACAAAACATATAATTTAGGATTCATCTAACTGGGATTGAGTCCTTGGGTGATGACCAGGGTAAACAGGGATGGGGAGGAATCAGGAATGAAGACACAGACAGAAGAGTCCAATAGAGGAGGAAATATTTAGAAACTTAGAAATATTTTATTGTCTGTGTATAAAATATATACAATAAACTGCATGTTGTTATTAGCACTCTAAAATTATAGCCCAATTTTATGCTATGATTTTGAATTCGCAGAAAATTTAAAATGGGAAGACAAGAAGAGCACCCATGTATAGGCTAATAATATAGCTTTGCTGCCTTCAATTTCTAAATCTGGGGGACAAAATATGACTATGATATGTATAATAATCAGCTGTCTTATAACGGGAGGTACACAACACACACACACACACACACACACACAAATCTCAAAAGTCAAAGATGGTTTTTAAATTAAAAATAGTTTGCAAGGGAACTTACAGTTATTCCTAGCATTGGTAGTGACATGTTGATAATGTCATTCACTGTGTCTGAATTTGTTACTGTTACAGTTACAGACTGTAAAAAAGAAATGAGAAAAATTGCTATAAATTTTTAAAAATTTAAAGCAGGTGACCAAATAATTATTGTCAAATTATTATCCATACTCTAAAGGCAAAGCTTGTTTTCAGTTAATGACAAAGTAAAGCATATGTAGAGCACACACCCTTGATTACAATATTTTCATTTCTTTACATAACATGAGGCTAGTAGGAAACATTTCAGTGAAACATATATTTCCCTTCAAGGATTTGTGGCTTACAAAATATAGCAGCTTAAGCAAGAAAGAGAAAAACAGAATTCCACGAGGGGACATGAATTGACCCTCAGCTCCATAAGGCTATTCCCAAAATAGAGAGGGGAGATAGTTTAAAAAGGAGGAGCTAGATACTTTTCTCTCTTCGCAATTACATACTCAGTTTCAGCAAAATCAGAATAAGAACCGTCTGTGACAGACATTTTTTTTTTTTTAAACTACTATTTAGTCAGTACTGTCTTTGTGTCATCATGGTTACTAAGATTTCCATTGTTGAAATCTGTTGAGACAAATAAAACCAATGAGTCTAGGAAATGAGACTGAAAATTTTAGAAGTTTATATTCCATTCGCAACTCTGACAGTGAGTAGTTACTTATAATATCTCTCTATCACACCTTATATTGAGAAACTGCTCCATACAACAAGGAAAACAGTTATTGAAAATTATCTGAAAGGGATGGATAGGAATCTGAGATGATATCGATAAAAGTACCCGAATTCCAAAAGACATTTTAAAATAGGACAATATGTAACCAACCACGCATACACTTTTTATAACATTATTAGGCAATGAGGCCTGTGTTCTTTGAGAAACAGTGCATGAAGAAGACAAGCAACAGAAGTGGACACTCACAGTCCTTAAAAATATTAAAAACAAAGTTAAAAGAAACTTGTTCTTTCATTGTATTTTTCTTCTTATGAATTGAAATGCAATTGCTTGATATGACAGATGGCCCAAAAGTTGCTTGATAATCGAACTTGTATAAACAAAAGTGTTCATTGATTTCAAACTACTTGAGCTTTCAGGATTATAAAAAAAAGTGTTCAGAACCTAGCAGTAGGACTCAGAGCACCCAAACTCAAGGATATCCTATGTTAAATTGTCTAGGAGGGGCTTCCTATGTTAAATTGTCTAGAGGATTCAAGACTGGGTCTTAGCTTGAAATTTAGTTAGAAGTAATGGCTCTGCTATTTTTTTTAAGATGTCTGAAAGCCTTTCAGTACAACTTAAAAAGTTTCCCACAAATTTTTTTTTTTTTTTAAGATTTTTGTTTATTTATTTGTCAGAGAGAGAGCACAAGCAGGGGGAGCCACAGGCAGAGAAGGCAGAGGGAGAAGCAGGCTCCCCTCTGAGCAGGGAGCCTGATGCAAGACTCCATCCCAGGACCCTGGGATCATAACCTGAGTCGAAGGCAGATGCATAACTGACTGAGCCACCCAGGCATCCCTCCCATGAAATCTTTTTAAAGAAAAAAAAATCTCTTTTGAAATACTAATAATCACTTTTTAATTTATCTGGTCTGCAAGATAATGGTTTTCATGGTATAAGGAACATACTATGTTCAAAATAGTAATTCCAGAGATGTATGTATATTTTCCTGCATGTTGTAGGTTCTCCAAAACAGATAAATTCCAGTAGATAGAGCTCTCTGATAACAAATGACTTCAGAAAAATAAGCTGCTTTTTGAAATAATTTAAAAGAAAAAGAAATGTTACTTTTTTTTATATGAGTCAAAGTGTTACTTAATATATGAAGAACAAGGAATATGTGATCAATTCTCAAGAGCTGAAGGCAACCCTGAGATGATCTAGATGTTCAGACTGTTAGCCAAAAATGGCTATTACAATAATGCTCAATGATACAAATGAAAATATGCTCACAATAAACGAAAGAGGCATCTTAGCATAGAAACTAAAAATATTTAAAAACAGAAATTTTTTATCTGAAAAATATCTTAAAGAAAAAATTTACTGACTAGGCTACATTGCATAATGGAGATGACAAAAAGAAGTCAGTGATTTGAAAATAGATAATAGAAATTATCCTGTCTGAAGAAGAAAAGGGGAAAAAAAGATTGAAAAAATTAAGAGTCTGAGGGATCTATGAACAATATGAAAGGGTCTAATATACATATAACTGGACTCTCAGGAGGAGAGGAGAGAGAAAATGGGGAAGAAAATATTTGAGGTAATCATGATCAAAATTTCCCAAATTTGGTGAAATTAAATTTATAAATTCAAGAAGTTCAGAATATGCCAAATAGGACAGATTCAAAGAAAACCATGCTTTGATACTTCATAGCCACACTGCTAAAAACCAAAAATAAAGAGAAACTCTTGAAAGCAGCTAGAGAAAAATGACAAATCACCTACAGGGGATTAATGTTTGATTGATCACAGACTACTCATCAGAAAGCACAAAGACAAAAAGACAGTGGAACATCTTTAAAGAGCTGAAAGGAAAAAGTTTGCGAACAAAATTCTACATCCCTCAAAATATCCTTCAAGAGTGAGTGTGAAATAAAGCCATATTCAGATAAGAGAAATTAAGAAAATCTGTTTGCACCAGGTCTGCACAAGAAATGCTAAGGATCATCTCTCTAGGATGAAATGAAAACAGTGTTAGAGGGAAACTTGGATGTTCAGGAACAAGTGAAGAACATTAGAAATGCTTATTTTGTGTAAATTATACATAAATAAAGTTGATTTTTAAAGATTTCAAGGTAATTTTCCATGGAAAATTCTGAGTGTAACCCACTGCCACAGCTGAAATCAAAGCAGGCAGAGACAAGAGTGTGCTCTGCTGCTAGAGAACCCTCTGGCCTTATCTCCTTCATGCAATGCATCTACCTGGTGCTTAGAAACCAATCAAAATATTTGCATGGCTTTTGCTTTGGCCAGGAATAACTACCCCTTTTTCCACCTTCAAATACTATTTTGTGTGACCTAGAGCTACTGTAAAGTATAACAGGAAAAAAAAAATGTCACTTAAAGATACCCAAAGTATCTTGTTCATCATTGCAAATGTCTTGGCTACTGCACTACAATTTCAGAAATCAAATTTTATACCAAGAATGGGCAACTGGTTTGATTTTTTTTCCCCCAACAGCCAAAAGAAAATGAGATAGAAATATGCTGATCCCTTAAAAGTGTCATCCCTCTGAGCTCAATTCAACCCTGATATTCCTTGGATCAAAAGACCTTTCAAAACCCCTCTGCAGTTGATATAACTACTAAGTGAAATACCTGACCCTTGAGTAGATCCTGTACTGGAAAGGAGACATTATTGAGGTCAACTGACAAAATGGGAACATGGAAGGCAGAGTAAAGTATTACACCGATGTTAAATTTACTAAAGGTGATAACTGTGTGATGGTGATATAAGAGGATATCTTTATTCTTGGGAAATACCTAGGTTTAAGGATAAAGGGCCATGGCATTTGTATGACCCTCAAAAATAAGTATAACATACACATAATAGGGACAGAGAAAGAAAATAAATGATAAAGCAAGTGGAGTAAAATGTTACTAATAGCTGAATCTAGGTAAAGGGTGCATGGGGTGTTTTTTGTTTTATTTTTATACCTACAACTTTTCTGTGAGTTTACAGTTATACCAAATAAAGCGTCAATGGGGGGAGGGTGGAGAACTGTGGAAACAATCCAAACCATTCTGTACATAAGTAGTAACCATTGGGAAAAAATGTTTACTTCTAGTAGGAAATACCTGCATGTGAAAATCACCTTATTACAAGCCAGTGTTGTTGCTATTAGAAAGAGCCAGGGAAATATTATGGATATTTAACATGCAATATTCTTTCCATGCTTAAGTACTGTGGCATGGATTCCTCTCGCTTCATATTACCTAGGATTCACTCTTTATGTATACAAAGACACGTGTAGACAGGAAAATACATTTTCCCACATGGTACTTTTCCAAATACTCTCTCTCTTCTTATCTCTTGCTCTCTCCTTCCTACCTCCCCATCTCTCCCTCCCTCCCTCTCTCTATCTCCATCTCCATCTCCATCTCCATCTCTTTCATTCTATCTGAATCAGGAACATGGAATTTAATTTTTGGTCTTAAAAACACTTACACAGGCACAGTTCTTGATGTCCTCAGTGAAGATTCTGAGAGGAATGCTTTTGGGCTGGTCCTTCTCTTTGGCCAGATTGATGTACCTAATCAAATTCAATAATAACCCCAAATAGAGTAGGATGAATTAGCTATTAGCTTACTTTCAAATTGATCTATGTGGCTAAAATTTTCAACATACTCTGTTATTTTTAAATGCATGTAAATAAACTCAGCAACATCAAATTATGGGTTGGAAGAAAACATGCAAAACTATTTCAGGAAAATAAGACATGACTCAGAAAACAACAGGTTGCTCTTGTCATGTAAGATGTGAGTAGCGGATCCAGTCATCAAAGCTTTCCTGCCTAGACTGGAGGGCCCAGCACCTTCAAGGGTAGGAATGAGAAGGTGCTTTGAGCATCACTCAGGAGAGTAAATTGCACTTAAGAAAATTTAATATGTATCTTTTGAGAATAATGTTAGCTCCAATCATTAGGTCTGAGAGAAGGGGAAGATGAGAGTGATAACCAGAATTTCATCAAAAACAAGCAATATGTGCATGTAAATAAGAGCAGATTATTTGCAGTAGCAGCCAGGGTACATCTAAATAAGAAATTATTTGAGGATAGTCTAACAATTTCTACTAAGTAGGGGAAGCATAGTGTGTGGGGGCACTGCTTTGAAGAGATTTATTCTTTTCTCATGGGTTAAAGATGTATAATATGTATAGTGACAAGATACCTTTGAAGGAAAGAATGCCATTTTTCCTTTTGTTCCGAAGAACTGCAATTTAAAAAAAAATGGGAAGAAAAAATTAAGATACATACAATACTTATACTAGCAAAATAAGATCACCATTCCAGAAAAAAATAGCACCAGCCAGTTGTTAAGGATGTGGATGCATGTGTTAATATCATACTGTCCTCATAGTTGCGCTTTGGAGGGACCCCACTCTTTTATGAGCGTATTAAAGCAATGGGAAGTAGATCCTAAAGCGGGAGAAAAGTTGGTTTTGAATCTGAACACTTAATTGTAACTATGTGATGCAAGCTATGTGATCATGGGCACTTTGCTTAACTGCGCTGATCTTCAGTTTCCAGAACTGGAAAAGGGTTAATTATACCCCGAGTGTTCCTGCAGCTGCAAGTGCTATTCAGATATAAAGAACATTATTATTCAAATTAAATCATACTTAAGGAATTTGGCATTTGGATGGAACTATCTTGGCCCAGAAACAAGAATAGCTTTTTAGGAAGAAACACCTGTAATATTTTTATTTCTTTATACACATAGCAGATTGGAATGTGTTAAATTAGTTTCTAGAAAACATTCTTCGTTACTGTGATCCTCTGAGCAAGATCGATCCAGCTAGTGCTAAACTACTAAAGGTTAGTCTTTTCTCAACTAAAGTTTTCACAGCATTTAATACCCAAAGTTGCGAATGTTTTAAGCCTCATGCATACATGGCCTTACCACTTACTAGCGTTTTTTTACCGTGGTAAACTACACAAAATAAAATTGACCATTAGTGACCTTTAGTACATTCACAGTTTTGTGCAACTACCGTGACTGTTTAGTTCTGGAACATTTTTTCACCCAAAAGCAAACCTGTGTCCACGAAGCAGTCACTCTTCCTTCCTTCCTGTTTCTAGCTCCTGTACCATATTTTGTGTATTTGTTGATAAACACTTGGGTTGTTTCTACTTTTGTTTGTTTGTTTGTTTTTTGGCTATTGTCGACAATGCTGCTATGAACGTTTGTGTATCAATTTTTGTGTGGACCTATGTTTCTCTTGGGTATCTATCTGGGGGTGGCATTGCTGGGTCGTATAGTAATTCTGTTTGACTTACTGAGGAACCATCAAACTGTCCACAGTGGCTGCCACATTTTATACTCCTCCCAGCAACACTGCTCCCCAACCCCTCCATCGCTGTTTCAGGATTTGTCCCATCTGGAAAATGGAACGCCCACTTAGCGTCCCAGCCTGCCTATGCGCATGGACACAGCTTCTAGTTAGCCATGCTGATCTGCAGAACAGTAATAATCACAAATAGCAAAAGCACTAGGTGCCAGGAATTGTTATAAATGCCTTCTATATGTTTACACAGCTTTTTAACTAATATAACATGTATAAGCCTGGCTTCCACATTTTCCTCCTTGTTAGGGAAAAAAAGTCTCTTGGAAACTCCCCTGTCAAAGACTTTATACATTCCCAATTGAAACTGTTTCCTTCCATTTGCAACATGGAGAAGACAGGAAGCAAGAGGAACTGAGAATCTTTACAGAAATACGTCGTGGAAAAGAAGACATGCGGAGAGCATATAAATACATATTTCTTCCCAATAAGCTTTGAAAATTTCTCCTTAAGTCAACGCTGCATTATAGGGCTTAATAAATTAACAACTTGTAAACATTTTCGTTGTCTTCCCTTTGTGATGACGTGTGACATTTTGGTGGAGTGGGGTGAGGAGAAGAAAGAAGGGTGTTAAGTGCATGTGATGAACACTCATTGTGCAAAACAAGAATGAGACTTGGGGTGTGGTTGTTTCAAACAGCAGATGTAAGTGTTGCACCACCCCTGTAAACTCAGGAGTGTCTGCTCAGGATGTCCGGGGTAGAGAGTCACATTCCCCATCCTCGTGTCAGCCTAAGAATGTGTCTTGCACAACTAACCTCTACTCAATGCAATCATACTTTTGTTTTAGATGGTCACCTCTCTAGAGACACCAACTAAGATAATCAGTACACAGCAATTCAGGCAACCTCATATTCAATGACATGATTAATTTATTTGTATAATTCCATACTATTTTTAAAGGAATGACCTTGGGAGTATAAGAGCAATTTTTCAAATTTAATTGGACTCTTTAATAGTACTTGCTCAAGAAAAATATGCCAGTGATTTAGAAACACACATACCCCTGGGAATTAGGGGGCAGGATATTGGAGAGGGGTTCTAGAACCTCACTCTCTTGATTCTCCTTCCATATGCCTAAAACACCCAATTCCTCAAGTGGCTCCTAGAGCCCATGGGAAAAACCACTGATCAAAACCAAAAGAAATTACTCCAATAGTTCCCACTCTGTTATCTACTTGCTCCCATTTGTACATACCTTTTGGGGGGAAGTACAAGGCAAATGAGTGTCATTATGGGAAGTCAAAAAGGGAGTCACTGGCTTGACATATAATCAGATTAAAATGTTTTTCTTTTTATCCCATGTAAATACAAGACCAAACGGTCGGTCTTACCCGAAGGTGGCCACAAAGGTCACCGTGGGCCAGCCCAGGATAAAGGACCTCCCAGCACAGATGTTGGCATCCTCCACTCTGTCCATACAGTTGGCAGTCCACATGGTGTTCAGTGGTATTTTCTTTTTTATCTTAAGTTTTTTCTTATACCTAGAAAGATACCCAAACAAGACCTCTGTTAGTTTGTTTCATAAATGTTATGGGAACAGCTGTGCTCATCAGAGACCAGTTCTCACTGCTCCAGGGCACAGCATGCCTCCCTTGTCTCTATTACCCTCTGTGCCCAGCACAGCAAATGGTGACATGACCTTTACAAAGTGTGTGTTGAGCAAAGTCTGGCCCTAGGAAGGCCCTGAAAACACTTCCTCAAATGGCAGCAAGTGGCCATTTTTCTGAATGTTGAGTGTTGAGTAAAGACTATATATTCCAGAGCTTTTTAAGAAAACCATTAATTCATTTATTATTGTTAGAATTTGTTTCTTATTATATATAGTTTTATGGTTATTATTATAGTTAATTATTCATTTATGACTTGCTTACTTCAAAAAGTATTTGAGGGGCTGAACAAAGCTACCTGATACACGATTTATAAAAATAGTCATACAATTTTTTGCTTAAGAGACACAAACCAGGGGGCGCGCCTGAGTGGCTCAGTCGGTTAAGCATCCAACTCTTGGTTTCGGCTCAGGTGGTGATCTCAGGGTCTTGAGATCGAGTCCCCATGTAAGGCTCCCCTCTCAGTGGGGAGTCTGCTTCCCCTCTCCCTTTGCCCCTCCCCCCGCTCACGCTCATGCTCTCTAAAATAAATAAATACATAAATAAATCTTCAAAAAAAAGAGAGAGAGAGAGACAAACCAAGAACAAAAAATAAACTTGGATCAGAAAGATTTTTTTTGGGGGGGGGGATCAGAAAGATTTAAAAGTTATTTTCAACCTTAATTTTAAAAAAATACTTTCTAGCCTTTAAAGCATAGGTTATTTTCAATTTCCCTTCTTAAAATTTTATCCATATCATTTTCCCTTAGATTCTGGCTAAAACTGAAAAACTGTTAGCCTACAGATTGAGCCCAATTTAAAAATCATCAATCCATCCATCAATCAATCCCAGATCAGCGGTCAGGAGGTCTTATATGTGAGTGATGGATACTTCCCATTTCTCTGAGGAGTCAGAAGGTGATCAACTTTGTCAGTGGTGAAATTGCTTTTTGACAATTTCTGCCTAATCTTCTTTGATCTCTAACATGAAAACCACCATATTGATTGATTTGGTTAATTCACAACTTTAACTCTCAGGTGGGCTTGGGATTTAAATAGTTATAAGCCCTCTGAGGGATGCTTAGGGAACTTGGACACACCACTCTGGAACTCCTTACTATTCAGAAACACATGTGGAAACACTAAACTAAAATGAGATCAAAGACACCTCATGTGCAAAAATCCCTGTGACTCCAGTGATTCATGGAACAATTAAAGCTAAGACTCTCCAATGGGTTTTATGAAATAAAAATAATTTTGCTGGACGCACACTTGAAGGATAATCTAGATTCAAAGTTTATGACACAATGAATAAAGTCATCGGATAAAATCATTATCAGATATCAGATGTCTGATTATCAGATAAAATCATTTTTCTAGATAGTAACTCCAAAGGCATTGTCAGGGTAGAAATAGATGGCTAATGGGAAAGATAGACATATATCTGTTGGTTTTTAAGATTTTTTTTTTTTTTTTTTCTAATGTAGGTATCTGTGTGTATACAGACACCCAAGGTACTGTGTGGGGACTTCCAAATACATTGACCTGGAAAAAGGCATTTCAGTAATTCTCTCCTTAGTTCAAGAAAGCACCAAGATTATCTACTCCAAACCAAGGAGTTATCCCAAAGCCCAGAGCATGGTTTCGACTGTCCTATCACATTTGGAGCACTTATCATATGCCAAGCACTGTTCTAAATATTTTATAAATACAAATATAAAAAATGTAATCCTCAAACAACTACACTAGGTGGTCTTTATTAGCTCCATTTTACAAATAAGGAAACTCACAGAAAGGTCAACTAAATTGCCAAAGGCAAGAGAGTTTGAACCCAGACAGCCTAACTCATGAGCCCATGTTTGTAACCACTTGGCCTCTGTGGGTGCTGACCTATCGTTCCATGAACTACCCTTCTCATGTTTCCTACCCTCACTCAGCCTCACTTCGGTCCCCAGAGCCATCAGGCTTTCTCATTGGATTATCTGGGGAGTGAGAGGATAAATCTCAAGACATTATATTAACAAAGCTGGTTACTAGCTTGGAAATATTTAAAGTTTATTACAACAAAGCTTCATACTTCAGTGGATTCTTCTAGGGTCTTACTGCATTTCTTCACTCTCAATCACTGACCCAACTGGATTATCTCAGTAGAAATTAGAAAGTATTAATCTAATGTAAACTGACTTGAGGAGAAGAAAGAGGAGGAGAAAGAACTGTGGTTTTTATTTCTAAAAATAGTCCTTTATTATATTTGTATTAACATGATGGATATCACTCTTGCTTTCTGCTACCTTAACCTTTATACCAGAAGGGAAGCCCCAGTGCACTGTGGAAATTTACAGGATTCTAGGGGGATTTCCCCTGTTCTAAGATAGGGGTATCCTTTTACAGATGTTGGGAGTGGGGGTCCTGTTATATTCTGTAAGTAATTCTTTGTAATTTCACGGATAATGAGTTAATAGTCATCTTCATCTTTTGACCTAATTTAAATTCATTTTTTGTTTCATTTTATATTCTTTAATAACTACATATGAGGGATGTGATGTCTAAAGAACTAAGTTCAGTCCCTTCCTTTTTGTAAATTCTTCATGGGCCTCTACTAGTATTAATATCTTAATATTTATCAAGCAGATACTGTTCTTAAAAATAAAGTAATAATTTTCTTTGAAAAATAACTTATTTAGTATTCTAATGAATATCAAAAGTAATAAGGAAGGTTCCATCTGACCTCAATTCTTGAGAAATTTCTGAAGGCGTATGAAAAGAATCCCCAAACAATTTTCACTATTATTAACATCTTGTACGACTAGAGAAATATAATTTCTTTGTGAAGAAACAAACATTTAAATTCCTTTTATTATTACACACAAACTAAAATTCACTAATTTTGACAGAATACAGAGGTAGCAATTAGTCAACTACTTACCCAATTTGTGTTAATTTCTATAGCGTCAACCTAAAGATGAGAGTTTCCAGCTGAAGCCTGCAGGTGAGCTGAGGTAAAACAGAACCTGGGTCACCCCAACCCCTTCTTATGGCTAATTGGAAAACGTAGGCCCTAAATTCAGATGATTAATTTGAACAGATTGATTCAGGGCATAACACAATCCTCCAAGAACAAGGATGACAGGGATGAAACAAGGTTGTTAATGCAGGAGCTATTTCTTTTTAGTTGTTTCCTTCTAGAAAAAAAAAATGTAAACTTGTCCAATATTCACAGTGATCATAAATATACCCAAATGTTTACTATGGGAATGTTCTCATGGTCGTTTTCTAAAAACTGTGGCAAAAACTTGTACGCGGCCACAGCATGAAGTGCTGCTCGTGACTGCTAGGGACAGAATTGTGTCCCCTCCCCCACTGCTCCCCACAGTCTTACCGTGAAGCCCTCTCTGCCAATATGACCATGTTTGAAGAGAGAGCTTTTAAGCGGTAACTAAGTGTAAATGGGGCCATCAGGGTAAGGGCTTAATCCAGTAGGATTGGTGCCCTTGTAAGAAGAGGGAGAGAGAGCTCTGTGTGTGTGTGTGTACATGCAGGCGCTGAGGAAACCCCACAGGGCATAGGCGAGAGGGCAGCCATCTGCACGCAGAAAGACAGCTCTCGCGGGAACCTGACCCTGATGGTGTCCCGAACTTGGACTTCCAAAAATCTGTGTTCTCTCTCTGTCAAGGGCCTTGGTTTTAGAAGCCACATTCAAGTGCCTGAGATCACTTACATTTTCTAATATTCCAAATGGATGTAAAAAGTATATAAGATAATCTTTCAGGAGCTGAGTCTCTTAAAGAGAACATTATTAAATACATTGATGTAGATTTTGTCACATCATAAAAACCCTTGCGTAGACACAAAGACCTATCTCAAAAGCAATATGTGAAGAGGAAAAATGTTGCACTTCTTTTGTAATAGTGAACCAATCAAAATAAAAAATTCAGCTCTTAAAAGGATGCAGTTCTCTCATGGGGAAAGAACACTGCCTTTATATAAAATCTTTTCAGCAGAACACCGTAGGTTCTGTAAAACCCGCTGAGAGGTAAGCAGTATCCAGGACAATAAATGGCTCTAGTAAGAAAAGAAAGGTCTTCTCCTCTCCCTAAGTGCTATAATAATTACAAAGATGAAAACAAAGTGAAGGACAACCTGTTCCCCTTATAAATCGAATGTGAGTGGTCTGCAAGGTCCCAAGGAGCAGGAAAGGAGTTTGCTGTTTGTTAGCGTGTCTCGGGCTGAGCATGCAAGAGTAGGTGTGGCATGGTGTGGCAGGAAGAGTGTGGCCTTGGGATGAAGGCAGGCCTGGCTTGGAGTCTCTCCCACCATTTCCCTGTGGATGACAGGTCCATTCCTGAGACTTCCTCCATCCCCACTTTCATTTCTGCAGTCGGTGGATGGTAACAATACTGGCCTTGGAGGGCTGTGGGGAAATTACACGAGGAATCTGTAATGCTCCTCGTGTGGTCCCCAGCATGCATCCCACACATTTTAGTCTCCTGTACTCACCTTGGTTAAATAAAGGGAATGGTAACTAGTCTGCTTTTTTAAAAATAATGATGTGGCCCTCTATCAGGAGGAGCAGAGTGCGTCATACGGACCTCATGCCAGGACCTGGACAGTCTTTTTCTCTCTGTCCTCCTCATGACATCACCACCTCCAAGGCTACATCTGTAGGCAATATCACTCATCTCAAATATATTTTACTATTTCTGTCTTTGCCTCTGATTTTTTTTTTTTTTTTTTTGGACAGCTACACTACCTTCATTTCTCAGTTCACTAAGCATTCTGACCTATTTCTTACCAGATACCAAGCAGATTGGAGTTGTTTACTCAACATAAAGGAAAGGTTGATTTCAATAATGAGAGAGAATCTAGGTGTTCATGGAATGTTGTATGAAATTCAGAAAAATAGAAATAATAGAAACAGCAGCACCACACGTAGAATAAAAGCCTGTACTTTGAAAGAAACGGACCTAATTTCAAATGTAGACTCTACTCATCACTAATATGGTGACCTGGGCAAAACCTTCAGACCTCTGATTTTCAGAGGTCTTCTCTAAAATAAAAATAATCCCATCTCACAGGGTAGTTGTAAGGTTGGAGAAGATTGCATACATGAAGTTCTTAGCATAACACCTGTCATGTAGTAAGCCCCTGATAAATTATCATTAATGTCACTCAGATTGAGTACAGCATTTTGCCAAATTAGTACTTGCATGGCTTACTAATGGCATGGCATAACTGGGAGCTGGTGAGGGCAGCAAAATAAAGGGGGCGTAGTTTTTTTTCTGGTGACTAAAAAGCTTCTTGATATTTGGTTGGTTGGAATAGTCTTTGTCTTTCATGATGTTTTGTGAATAATGAAAAGACAGAGACAGAGCAAGTAAACAGCTGACCTCCCATCCACCTGCTTTTGGACATTTATTGAGCAATCATCAGGTTCCAGGCTGGCTATCAGTTACCTTTGTGTTCAGGGTTGAGAGGAAAGTGCACGCAGTTAGTTCTGTCTCCAGCATATATTCCCAATCTGTCTGCTGCCTCCTTCCTTTTTACTGCACTCCTATCCTGGAGCCCTTGAGAGCAGGCATCAGGACTACTGCCTCCCCTAACCAGTCTCCCTGCTCCCACTCTTGCTCAACCATCCATCCATTACCTACCAACAGTCAGAAAAATTTGCGAGAGCTATAAATCAGATTCAGTCAGTCCTAGTTAAAAATGCTTTGGCAAAATATTTCCACTTTTCACCATGGCCTGTGAAGACCGTGTGTGACTGGACCCCGAGCGCAGTTTCACATCTGATCGCATGCCCCATGCTTTCGGCTCCCATCAAATCAGCCTTCCTGAGCCCCTCCCCCCAGGGGTCAGGTTGCACCCACGTAGCCTGCTGGTCCCTCAGCCTAGAAGGTTCAGGCACCTTGTCTAGGACTGTGGCTGCTTCTCATCCCATAGATCGAGTTTCAGTGCTGCCACCTAGGAGAGGCCCTCCTGGACTACCCCTCTCTCATACGTTCCCATCATCTCCACACGGCCCCCTGCCTACTTTCTATCAGAAGCACTAATCACAATCTATAATTACCCCTCTTATTTTTGTCATTTGTAAGTTCCAGGCAAGAGACACACTGCTTGTCACATTCTCTATTGTATTCTCTGCAGGCGGGGGGGAGCGGGGTATGGCACAAAACAAGACCTCCATAAGTACTTGTTGAATGAATGAAGGATCCAAACATGGGCAAAAACAAAAGAAAAAAATGTCATGTCTTCTTATGGTAAGGGTTAATGGAAATGTAACTTCGTGATCATCACAAGGGCACGTTGCTTAGTATACATACTTGGTATCGGACACCAGCAAGAAATCGCTGAATAAGAAGAGGTGCCGCTTCTGCCTCCTCCAGCCTCTCTTGAGCTCGACGGGGCCGTGGATAAGCAGGGTATGGGCGGCACCCTCAGATGATGTAGTGCTTTTGCTGCAGGCATCCACCTCAACAGAAGAGCTCTTCCTGCAACCCACCAAACACCACGGAGCAGCTAGTTACTAGTCAAATACACAATAGAGTTTTATGCTAAATGTCAAGGTTCGCATAACACTAAAATTTAGTCTCAACCCCGAAAGCAGAGCTCCAGAGCTCACATTCAGGGATCGCTGAGTTATAGAAAGCTATTGAAAGAGATGAGGTCGGACGTCTGGGTGGCTCAGTCGGTTAAGCGTCTGCCTTCAGCTCAGGTCATGATCCCAGGGTCCTGGGATCGAGTCCCACGTCGGGCTCCCTGCTCAGCGGGGAGCCTGCTTCTCCCTCTGCCTCTACCCCTCCACCCTGTTTGAGCTCTCTCTCTCTCTCTCTCTCACATGCTCTCTTTCTCAAATAAATAAACAAAATATTTTAAAAAAGGAGAGAGAGATGAGGTCACTTGGTGAATTGATGCAGATGGAGAACAGTTTCAAGGACAAAGCCCTTGGGCATGCCAACACTTAGACATGGGGTGGAGAAAGCAGCAAAGCTAATCATGAGCTTTTAGGAAGGGGAGGATCAAGAGGTAGAGTGTATTACAAGAAGGCAAACAAACAACAACAACAAACAGGACAATTGGTGGCCTAATATAAAACAAAATGATATGGTGTGTGTGTGAAGAATTAATTACAATTTGCTTTCATGTTAAGATAAAAATGAAGACAACTGAAGATTCTGGAAATTTACTTATCTAAATCTATCGAAATCTTATCTAAATCAATATTCAAACTTGGGGGAAAATTCTCAAAGATCGGCAAAAATACTGGAAACATCAAAAAGTTTCTAAACACAAGAGTTTAGCTATTACTTGGCTGAGCTCTGACTGAGCTCTGATAGGACTTTCGGTCATCATAGGTAAAACAGCTAAATTGAACAGAATGCAAAAGTTCTTTCATAAATAGGACAGATATTTTCATAGACCTGGGAAAATTCTCTCTCGTGGAGCCAAGAAAGTGTCTCCTCCGAGAATGTAAACCCTGCTCTCTTCAGCTCAGCAGCACTGAATCTTACGAACCTGAGTAGCCTTTCACGAAGCTGGTGCTGAAGTTACTCATTAGTGTACACGTATTAGAAGAAACAAAAGAGAACAACACTTCCTGTTATTGTCAGTCTGTTTTGAGGCTCAAAAATAGTATATCAAAAGACTACCTTCTGCAGTGAAGCCTTGAATGACCACCTATAAGTTCTGCATACTTTCTGAATGATGTGAACATCCTTTTGTCTTCAGTTCTCAGGACTGAAAATCAAGTGAGTCTACAGCACTAGGCAGAGTACTGTAAAATGCTTGAAGCCTGAGGATTCCATAGTAACCTGAGATCACTACCATTATGATGTCACGGATCTAAGGCTCATGTCGTAACTGCCAAACTGACATACTTGTTTCCCTGATTTGGCCTGCACGTTTTGATTTTTTAAAAGTAATCTTTTTTATTTTGAGATAACTATAGATTCATATGTATCTGTAAGAAATAATACAGAGAGATTACATCAATTTTCTACAGATAGAGACTTCCAGACACTTCCATCACCACAAGGATCCTTCCTATTACCCTTTTACAACCACACAAACTTCCTTCCACCTCCCCCACCTCTTTAATCCCTGGCAATCACGAATCTGTTCTCCATGTGTATAATTTTGACATTTCAAGAATGGTATACAGAGGGGATCATATAGTATGTAACATTTTTGTGATTTGCTTTTTTCCACTCAACATAACGGGAGAGTCATCCGGATTGCCACAGGTGCTCACAGTTCATTTCTCTGTGTCTCTTAGTAGTATGCCAGGATATGGCTGTATCACAGTTTGCTTCACCACCTGCTGAAGGAATTCTGGATTGTCTGCAGGCTTGGGCGTTCACTAATAAAGCTGCTGTAAACATCTGTGTACAGGTTTTTGTGTCAGCGTCGGTCTTCTCTCCTCTGGGCTAAATGCCCAGGAGTCCAATTGCCAGGTCCTAGGGTAGCTGCTCTGTTTTGTTTTTTAAGACACTAACTGTTTTCCAGAATGGCTCTGCCATTTCACATTCTCACCAGTACTGTGGGAGTGATTCAGTTTCCCCACATCCACACTAGCATCCACACTGGCAACTAGTGTTGTCATTTTTTATTTTAGCTGTTCTGATAGCTGTGTCATGATATCTCACTGTGGATTTAACGTGCATTTCCCCAATGGTTAGTGATGCTAAACATCTATTTGCCGTGCGGACATCTTCTTCAGTGTGACGGAACCTACAGTAGTCTGTTAAAAACATTTTCCGTGGAGACGGTGTTCCCTGTCCACTAGAAAACTGACCATTTTACAGATGAGGAGGTGCTTCACGGACAGGTTAGACGCTTTCAATTCAAGCAGCTGCGACATAACATGAAGGATTCAAATCCAGCTGACTCAGGAGGTCACTCAGCTTCCTGTGAGGGCCCCCCACTCTTCTCACACGGACAGTGTCTTTCCTTTGACAACAGTGGAGGACTGAAATTTGATCCTACTAACAAAGTTCATGGTTTCCCTTATAGGCACCTCGAACAGGTATGTGAATCCCTCTCTTTTATTCCCCACTCGACTCTATGGGCCTCAAGGAAAGAGTCTATGTCTGATTTATCATTTTAATTCTCACAAACATTGGCACATTGGAGGAATTCAAAAATTCTCTTGAATGGGTGAGTGAAATAGTTTTCTGGCATGGATGGATGGGGAAAAGGCATGACCTAAACTAGTCTCTCTCTCATTTACTTCATTCATTCAACAGATAGTGTTTGAACCTGTACTAGGAGAAAGACACTTGCTAGGTCTGGGCAACAGAGAGCCAGGCCCAACTCTCACAAAACCAGGATTTAAATGGGGGGGTGGGGGGCAGAAATTAAACAAAGAGTGTCATCAATAACTGTGTAACACCAGACTCTGGAAAGTACTGCAGAGAAAAATTAAAGAGATGAGAAATTAAAAGAGGGACCTGACACCTGATTTCAGTTGTGAAGAAGTCTCCTTTGAAGAGCTCCTTTAAAATGAGCTTTAAAGAATAATTAGGGATTGATTAGAGAGAGGAGAGAAAAGAGGAAGGCAGAGGGAAGGGACAAGAAGAGAAGTGTATTGGAAGGGAAGATACATTTTTCAGCTGAAGGGACAGAATGCGAATATGTGACGTTTCAGAGACATGGAAGAGTTTGCTAGTTTGGAGATACAGGCAGAAGGTACAGGAGCATGAAATATGCCTGAAAAAGTAGGTAGAGGCAAGAGCACAAGTCCTGGTAGACCTTTTAGACTTTACTGAGGCCTCTCATCTTAAAACCAAACTAGCACAGAAGTGACATGTAGATAGTGGCCTTCAGACTTTTCACCACTTTTATTTTTTTTAAGATTTTATTTATTTATTTGGGTGGGGGGTAGCAGAGGGAGAGGGACAAGCACAAACAGTGCTGAGAGTGGAGCCTGACCTGGGGCTCGATCTCACAGCCCTGAGATCATGACCTGAACCAAGATCACGACCTGAGCCGAGATCAAGAGTCAGAAGCTTAACCGACTGAGCCACCCAGATGCCCCTTCTCACCACTTTTAAAGGGACAAGTGCTAGTCTGGACATGTTTGATTGTATTAGAACCATGGAGGCTCATGGGGCAACACTTTCTGGCCTCCCATCAAGCATCTGTCAACAGTTATTTAATGTAAAAATGTAGGCAAACTTATCTCTGCACCTTCCCCAACTCCCAGATTATGTCCCATTTCTCTGCCTCTCCCTTCAGAGAGGTTAGAGATTTAGAGACCAGGAAAACTCTCCTTCTAGAATCTAGTATCTGCTTATCAATACTGATATGCATCAGTCTCACTTGGGGGAGTTTTCAGGCACTCCCTCTCTAACCCCCAGAGGTTCTGATTCATCAGATCCAGAAAACCTGTATTTTGAAAAATTTTTTGAGTGATTCTTGTATGTAACCAGGATTGTGAGTTACTAATCTTCAGGAATTAATTGAGAAAGATGTAGTGTTCTGATTCTATCTTCCCCTTGTAGTAAAGCCAAGGAGAGAAAAGTTTTCTTAGAAAGATAAAGGGAGCTTTCCTTAGTCATGTAATAGTTACATTTACAGTAATAGCTAAAGCTTAATTTCTTCTAAAATACCATTGCTACTTATTTTAATTTGATGAATGAGCTCTAAATAGAATCACAGTGATAGGGTTTGTTTTCATCTATTTCATTGAACACTTAACTTTTCACCCTAAATATCAAATAGAAGAGATAGTATAAGGTAATCCTATGCCCATAATACCAATATTTTTAAGCATGTTGCAAAGACAAGACTATTTAAAAATTTTTTTTGAAGATTTTATTTATTTGAGAGAGAAGTGAGAGAGAGAGAGAGAGCATGAGCAGGGAGGGGGGTCGGGGGGAGGGGGAGAAGCAGACTCCCCTATGAGCAGGGAGCCCGATGTGGGGCTTGATCCCAGGACCCTGAGATCACGACCTGAGCCGAAGGCAGACGCTTAACTGAATGAGCCATGCAGGTGCCCCTAGACTATTTTCTTAATTCAATTTCTTTCTTTTAATTTTTTTATATTTATTTTATTTCAATTCCAGTATAATTAAGTGTTATTATTAGTTTCAGGTGTACAATATAGTGATTCGATAATTCTATACATTACTCAGTGCTCATCATGATAAGTGTACTCTTAATCCCCATCACCTACCATCCATCCCCCCACCCACCTTCCTTCTGATAACTATCAGTTTGTTTTCTATAGCTAAGAGTCTGTCTTTTGGTTTATCTCTTTTTTATTTGTTTTGTTTCTTAAATTCCACATATAAGTGAAATCATATGGTATTTGTCTTTCTCTGACTTATTTCACTTAGCATTATACCCTCTAAATCCATCCATGTTGTTGCAAATGGCAAGATTTCATCTTTTTTATTGCTGAATAATATTCCATTGTGTGTGTGTGTGTGTGTGTGTGTATATCACATCTTCTTCATCCATTCATCTATCAGTGGACACTTGGGCTTGCTCCATAATTTGGCTACTGTAAATAATGTTGCAACAAACATAGGGGTGCATATATGTTTTTAAATTAGTGTTTTTCTCTTTTTAAAGATTTTATTTCTTTCTTTCTTTCTTTCTTTCTTTCTTTCTTTCTTTCTTTCTTTCTTTCTTTCTTTATTTATTTATTTGAGAATGAGAGAGGGTGAGCAGACAGGTGGGGGCAGGGGCAGAGGAAGAGGGAGAGGGAATCTCAAGCAGACTCTGTGCTGAGCGCAGAACCCAATGTGGGGTTCGACCCCATGATCCCGAGATTATGACCTGAGCTGAAACCATGTGCTAGATGCTTAACCGACTGAGCCACCCAGACACCCCACAAATTAGTGTTTTTCTATTTGGGGGGTAAATACTCAGTTATGGATCATATAGCAACTCTATCTTTAATTTTTTGAGGAACCTCCATATTGTTTTCCACAGGGGGCTGCACCAGTTGGCGTTCCCACCAACAGTGCACAAGAGTTCCTTTTTCTCCACAATCTTGCCAAAACCTGTTGTTTCTTGTGTTGTTGATTTTAGCCATTTGGACAGGTATGAGGTGATAGCTCATTGTGGTTTTCATTTGCATTTCCCTGATGATGAGTGATTTGAGCATCTTTTCGTGTCTGTTGGCCATCTGTGTCTTCTTTGGAGAAATGTCTGTTGATGTCTTCCGCCTATTTTTAAATTGGATCATTTGGTTTTTTGGTGTTGAGTTGTATAAGCTCTTTATATATTTTGGATACTAACCTTTTATATCATTTGCAAATATCTTCTCCCATTCAGTAACTTGTCCTCTCGTTTTATTGGTGGTTTTCTTTGCTGTGCAGAAGCCTTTTATTTTGATGTAGTCCCAATAATTTATTTTTGCTTTTGTCTCCCTTGCCTCAGGGGACATATCTAGGAAGATGTTGTTACAACCAGTGTCTGAGAAATTACTATCTGTGCTCTCTGCTCGGACTTTTTTGGTTTCAAGTCTTACATTTAGGTCTTTAATCCATTTTGAATTTTATTTTTGTGTATAGTGTAAGAGAGTGGTCCAGTTTCATTCTTTTG